ATTAAATAGGGTTCTGTATGTTTTCATGATTAAATGCAGCTAAATAAACTATTTCAAAGGTAACATATCTTTGTAATACTTAATTTACATAACATTTTTAATTGCTGGATGTTCGGCCCCTGAGCTGTTGGTCTGCATTAACTGTGGCCCCCGGAGCAATTTAGTTGAATAGCCCAGGTCTAAATCATGAATTGCTTTAGAGTAATACTGCAGAAGCAGAAAGTTTACTTGAATATGTTGTTAAAAAACGTAAATGATCTAATTAGTTGTTTAAAATCCTTTATATTTGCATCGTTCTCCCACATTTCATGTGTAAACTGTGTGAGCAGCTCCTGCTCCTGACTCCATCAACACAAACAAATATCTCAGGGTTTGTCCAAGGAGCTAAATTAATAACTCTGTTCACAGTCTCACTGCAGTAGTTGAGTTTCAAACACGTTTTCCCACAAATCTCTAAGCGTGTGATTTAGAAATGATAAAGGGAAATCAAGTCCTGCTTTGATTCATGTTGAGTTTATTGTGTTTAGAGGTCAGAGCCGCTCCTCTTTCATATCCTGCAGATCCTCAGGAACTTCTTTTGTCTCAGGCCACCTTTTTTTACATAGGGTAATGAAGCACAACACACATGAAACTCATTCTGCGGCCTGTTTAGAAGGCAGATAAAACACGTCCTGCATCGCAAGGAAACAAATAAAAGTCTGTTTCATGTCTTCAAACTGTGAAGCTGTGTTCAGACCAGTGTTCAGTCTCTGGTTGTGATGTCTGTAAGAGAAGCAGCTCTGCTCTCACTCACCTCTGGATCTCTGCCATGAGTTGACCTCGTGTCGTTTTAGGAGCATCGGCCACCTCTGCTCTGCTCGGTGCATTTCCATACAGTACAGGTGGCTCTCCAAGTATGGACACATTTTAATATTTTCATTTAAATGTCATTTTCATGCCCTGTTTGAATGGGAAATGCTATAATGATTCAAACAGATGGTCAGGGAATTATTTTCTCGTGATATTTGATAAGTGAGCTTTAAGGACAAAAATAGAGTCCTGATCCTGCGGTCCACATAAACAGCTCCGGGCTCCTCTCCAAATCATTAAGATAATCTACACAATTTGTTTGCTATGTAAAAATAATTAATGCATTTGTCCCTGCTGTGGTGTTTACATGTGCACGTTTCCCCYGTCCTCACGCTGCCGGTTTGCATTTTGGTTTTTACACTTTTAATATTTAATACCATTCAAAGTGGGGCGGCTTATAATTAAGACCTTAGAAAATATGATGCAGATTGGAGCAAGGCTTGAATCAAGGCCTTAGGCTTACAGCTTGTCCTTAACCGTTTTGTTGAAATAAATAAAAAATTGGAAAGCAATTTATTTTACTTTTTGWTGGAATGGTGTTTTATCTTCCATCTTCATATAACTTTAATATTTAATACCATTCAAAGTGGGGCGGCTTATAATTAAGACCTTAGAAAATATGATGCAGATTGGAGCAAGGCTTGAATCAAGGCCTTAG